GGGACTTCTAGGACTGGGGGCTGAAACTTGGGCTGGGATCCTGGATTCTGAAGGTGCCAGAGAGGCCCTGGGGCCACGCCCTGGCCTCCATTCACCAGAGCTGGGGGAGCTCCGGGCTCCAGACACATCTCTGCCCTACACCGGCTGCTCTGACGCCAGAACCCAATTCAGAGGCCACCCACTCAGGCAGCCACGTGCTGGCGGCGTGGACCGTTGGCGCCCAAGGCTGGCGGCCTGCTGTCCCTCCTGCACCCCGCTTCCCCTGGGCTCTGGGCTTTCTTTGGGAGTCAACATATTTTCGTGTTCCATTTTTCATTCGCATTCCCGCGAATAAGATTTGATTTCTTAAAGTATGTTTAGGTTCGATGAAAAACTGCAGGAGATACAAGTTCTCATCCCCCCTTCCAGGCATCGCGGTTTCTGTTATTTTAACACTTGGGGGAGGGTCCATTTATACGCTATTGATTCTACTTTATTTTTTTACTTTTTGGTGTGGTTTGGTGTACGTTTAAAGAGCAAATTAGTTTTCCATTGAACACTTTATACAGCACTTTTGTATCGTGACACTGATTACGATCCCCACGGTGTAAGAGCTCTCTTCCCACCTACTCCCTGGCTTCCCTGTTCCCACTCGTCCTCCTTGCGTGCCCCTTCCAAGCCCTGCTTTGGGGCAGATGTCGCCCTTCTGGTCTGGTGTGGTCCGTGGTATACTGACTCTCCGGAGTAGTCGCGTTACTCACCACTTTCTGAGTGTTTTCCTAAGTCTTATTTTTCCAGGAAAGACCTATTTTGTCTAAAATGTCATGCTGATTGGATTAAAGTCGTCCACATGTCACTCTTTTTGATTTCTAAATGTCTCCTCTCCCTGTAGTTGGAAACTTCCCCATTCTGTCTTCTGGCTTTCTTTGCATCAAACATGACAGATTTAGTTTTACTTCTTTTTCCCTTCTATTAATCCTTGTATTTCCCTGGTGTTTTCTTTTAGTTACTGAGGTTACAGCTGTAGCTAGTGAATTTTTATTTCCTTATTGTCGATACTGCATTTGTGACTACAATTCTCAGTGAACTGTCCTCTGACAGCATCTCACATCTGTTTTGAAGCATTGTGATTGAGGGCTGGCTCTAAATATTTCCCAATCTCCACGTAAAATCAAGTAAAAGTTGGCTTTATATTTTACCGATTTAGGCATCAGTGTTTTTCTCGTTCCTTGTGTGGTTCATCTCTAACCTCTTTGCCTTGGGTCACGGCATCGTTTGTGTAACATTGATTCTTTCTTATAAATGGCGAGTTGCTCTGTCTCAATGCCACCCGGCTCCTCCAGTCGCTGTCTGTGAGCGAAGCTCATGAACCAGTGCTGAACAAACCTGCAGCCGCCTTGCTGCTGCGTCTCTCCCCCAGCATTCCCACCGACACACACGGTCTCACCAGTGTCACACTGTGGTTCTGTCTCGTGATGAGGCTGCATCATGAAGTGTCTAGTTCTGAACTGTTAAACCTTCTGATGCACTGTTCCTTTTACCAAAATACAGTGACTCTGGGTGGTGCTAACGGTTAAGCGCTCAACTACAAACTGAAAGGTTGGCAGTTCGAATCCACCCAGAGGGGCCTCAGAAGACAGGCCTGATGGTCCACTTCTGAACGACCACAGCCACCCCGCGCAGCCGTCTACTTGGAAACACGTGGGGTGGCCTGGCCATGAACCAGTGCCGACTGGATGTGGCTGGTACCGGCTGTTTCCCTGATGACACTTCTGGGGCTTAATTAAGTCTGTTTCGTCTGAAATTGATGCGGCCCCTCACCTGTCTTCAGGCTCATCCCCGCCTGGGGTCTCTCTCAGCCTTCTACCCTCAGCCTCCCTGTGTCTCTGTTTTAGGGGTGTCCCTTCTAAAGATGGCATGGCTGCATTTCAAAGAAATCCATCTCCTAGCATTTGTCTTCTGCTTGGTCCGTTGAGTAGTTATTAAAATAGCTGCTGTATCTGGAAGTGCTGCCAGACTGGGCTGCTGCTCATTCCTGGCTGTGTGACCTTGGCCAGCTGGTTGCCTTCTCTGACCCCTGGGCCCCTCCATGCAATGGAGATGGCCGCCCACCCTCATACTGTGATGGTTAAACGGGGCAGCGCACACCATCATGTTGCCCACCTGAGAGGCCCTTCTTTCCCCTGCGTCCCTCCCCCTTCAGCCAGACCCACCCAGACATGAATCTCCTGAGGAAATAAGCCGTGGAGATGCTCAGAGCTCCTCGGTGGCTGAGACCCAGTGAGTGGGGACGGGGCCGGGCCCTGCAGAAGATGGCCTCATCTCCCTTCCTTACACGTGGAGGTCACCGAGGCTAGGGGAGCTGCTTATCTGAGGTCCCCAGGCAGCAGGGGAGATGCTCTAAGCCTCCCTGTAGGCCTGTGCCTTTCCACCCATGCAGCCCAGTAGTCACTTCCCCACAACGGACATCTCTCATCCCTTCCCGTCTCAGCCTCACCACACTGTGTGGCGTCCTTAGGGCTCTCAGCGGGGAGATGATTACCACGCAGGCTGCCTACACTGAGGCAACCTTCTGAGAGGGAGACTGGGAACTGGGTCCCCACCCCCTCTACCTGTCAGAAAAAGTTTTCTTCCTGTCCCGAACCCACAGAAACTGTCTCCATGACTGCCTTGACTACACAATTACACTTACCTTGCAGCTCGTGGGGGAAGAACTGTTCATTCTGGCCATGTGCCCATGGCCCAGGATAGCCATGTGTTTGAGTCTGAACAAAGGATGTCACGGCAGGTGCGGCCCAACAAAGGCCCCGTCCTGTCACCCCTTCCCTGATTCCATGCACTCCGAGGTATAAAACCCCCTGACCCCTTTGCCTCACGGTCTTTTCCACAATGTAAACTTGGAGCCTTCCATGTGCAGAAGCGATTTCCTGTGCCAACTCACTATAGGACAGGGGTCTGAGGGAGGCCAACCCCACGAAGACATATTCATGCATCTGCACCCTAACCACCATGTAAGCGAATAAAACTTAGGATCTTGCTGCTGGGGGGTGTCAGTTGATTACTGAGGGTGACAGCCCCCATGAGGCCATTTCCTATTTCGACTCACTGATGATACACCAATACAGCTCTCAGATGTACCAACCCAAGGTCTCTGTCTCCCTGGGCCTCACCATCCTGTTGTCTGTCTCTCTCCTGTCTGTTTACTCGTGACACAGAGGGAAGAAGGCCAAGACACAGAAAGGAACAGGAGGAGAGGCGACCGTGACCAAGACCCAACAATATAGGAAGTCAAACATGTGACAGGACCACCAGAGAAATGGGCAGGGACATTGACCTCCTGACAGAAAGAAACAGAGGCTGAACAGTCCAGAGAGGGACAGGGATGCCAAACTGTGAGAGAGCAAAGACAGAGAGTTGGCAGCCACCAAGCCCATGGCACAGGGGCTCTGGGGCCCGAGGGGGGCAGACTCAATGCAGTAGCATTTTATTGAGGCCACTACATGTCTGGGTGCTGGGGACCTGGGACAATCAGACTGCGGAGAGACAGCTATGGAAACATGTATAAGGATGAGGCAGTTGGAGGGTGGTGATGGCCTCGGGGAAGGCACCGGGAGCTGGACACTCCTCCCACAGCTGTCCCTCAGGGTCTGCTCCAGCCTGTGTGCTGTGGGTACCGACAGGAAGACATGGCTCTTGCTCTTGGGAGTTCCTAGTCTTCTCGGGAAACAGAGGGGGAGTTCCCCAGGAGGAAGAAAGTAAACACAACATGGAAGGAGTTGTAAGACAGGTAAGTATGAGGTGTCCTGGGAGCAGAGAGGCTGGGGTGAACTCCTCTTGACCCAGGGGAGATTTCACTGAGGAAAGGGCCTGTGAAACATGTCGGACGGTGAGAATGGTGGCCAGTGACCACGAGGAGAAAAGGCTGCTTCCAGGCAGATACAAAGGCACAAAGGCTGGAAACAATATGGCTTCCCCCGGAACCACAAGTCGATTCCCAGGGCTGTGGTATGGATGGTGGTGCTGTGGGAGGGACAGGCTGAGAGGAGGCTGGAGGCCAGCTCACAAGTGCTCTTGAATGCCAGGGGCATCTGAAGCTTATCCTGCAGGGCAGCACTCTAACCCTTTCACATCCCCACACATTCAGAAAAACAACGTTTTATGACACACAAGAGTAACCAGAAAGACTTGTTGAGGCCCAGAGTGACCGACATCTCAGTGGACAGGCCTCCCTTGGAGATACTGCAGGTTCGGTTCCGGACAACCACAATAAAGTGAGTATCACGGTAAAGTGAGTCACACGACTTGTTTGGTTCTCCAGTGCATGTAAAAGTTATATGTACACTAAACTCTAGTCTATTAAGTGTGCAATAGCATGATGAAGAAGTTTGAAATATTGTAAAAATCACCAGAATATGATAGGGACACAAAGTGACCACAGGCTGTTGGAAAAATGGTGCCAACAGACTTCTCGAGGCAGAGTTGATGCAAACCTTCAATTCATAGAAAATGCAGGAAGCGCAGTAAAGCGAGGTGCGCCTGCACCTGTGAGCCATTCGGGAAGTCCGCGGCAGCAGGTGACACAGTGGAGAAACCCCTGCCATGGAGTGACAGTCAGCTTCGTGTTGCAGAAAGAGCTGCCTGGAGTAGCAACTGGGATCTTAAAAGCTTGCAAGCAGCCATCTAGATGCAACGATGGGTCTCTCCTTGTCCAGAGCAAAGAATGAAGAAAACCAAAGATTCACGGAAAGAATTAGTCCTAGCGACTGGTACACCATGCGATCCACAGCCTATACAACTATGAGACCAGAAGAACTAGATGGTGCCCAGCTACCACTGTCAACCACTCGGAGGGAGATCTATGGGGGGATCAGGTTTGCTAGTCTGATAGAGCCTGATGGAACCACTAAGACTATGGCTCCTAGCTGCCCTTCAGGTCCGGAATTGAACCCACACCTGTGGCTTCCAGTCAAACAAAAGACAGGCATATGAGTTGAACATTTACCTGAGGTTGATACACTCCTTGGAGAGAACAATCATGGAAGAAAGAAGGGCTGTTTATGCACAGGGAGACAGCTCAGGGGGCAGGAGGGCATGGAGGGATGGACACAGGGAAGAGGTAATTATCGGGAGGAAGTGGGAGAGGAGCTCTTGCATTGTAGTAAATTGTGGTCAATGTCATGAGACAAAGTGTATGAGAACTGCTACATGGAAAGTGAATTTGCTCTGTACATTTTCACCAAAATCACAATAAAAACAAAGAAAGAAAGAGCCGCCTGGAGGCTGGGATGGAGAGTGGAGCAGAGAGGAAGAGTGACAACAGGAAGGGGTCAGGGAGGAGACCCTGCTGGGACCCAGGCAGGCAAGAGGCCATGAAGGCTCAGATCAGGTCGGGCTGGTGGAGGAGAAGACCCAGAGAGCTGGTGGCTGGTGGGATATGGGAGGAGAGAAGGAGGGACAATGATGATGGGCAGTGTCAAACAGCACCATCGATCAAGATGGGGAGTGGGAGACAGATTGAACATCTGGAGGTGGCTTCACAGGAGAGGCAGACTCATAAGTGGGCCGTGGAGTTAGACATGAATTAGGGGTGCGAAACGCAGCTCAAAGGCACAGAGATGGGCGTGGCCAGGCATCCCTCCTGGGCCACACAGCAGAGGGACAGGTGAACAGAGCAGCTAATTGGGAAGGAGAAGCCCCTTGGCCAGAGCACCTTGGGACCAGTGTCCTGACAGACACATTGCCCCAACTTCTCCTTTGGCACTGAGGACCAATCCAAATCTGTAGCACAGCCACCCTCTCTGTGACAACCCTAAGTGGATACAGGGACAGCAGGCTCCTTCTGGAAGCTTCTCCAGCTGTCCTGAATCACGGTGTTCATGATGGGTCTCCACCTGGGTGACAAACACAGAACTGTGCCTGGACAGTCCCAGAGTCTAATCCTCAAGCACCTTGTCATGTGGGGAACACATCACCCACCCCGTTTTTCATGGTTCTTCTGGAACTCAGGGCTTCTCTCAGATGCTGAGCCACCAAGGGGAGGCTGTAGCTTGAGGGTGCTTCCCAGTCACTGCAGCACTGTGATGTGAATCCTCAGGTGAACCATGAGGGCTGAGCTGCGGCTGAAAGCCTTGCCACAGTCACTGCACTTGTAAGGCTTCTCCCCCGTGTGAGTCCTCTGGTGCTCAATGAGAGAGGAGCTCTGGGAGAAGGCCTTTGGACAAGCCTTACACTGATATGGCTTCTCTCCAGAATGGACCCTCAGGTGTCGGATCAGCGCTGAGCAGTCACTGAAGGCTCGCCCACACACGTCACATTTGTAAGGCTTCTCCCCAGTGTGGATCCGCTGGTGCTGGGTCAGGTGAGTGCTCTGACTGAAGGCCTTCCTGCACTCCTCACACTCATAGGGCCGCTCACCTGTGTGCACCCGCTGGTGTTGGGTGAGGTGGGTGCTGCGGCCGAAGGTCTTGCCACATTCCCCGCACTTGTAGGGTTTCTCTCCAGTGTGGATCCTCTGGTGCTGCGTCAAGTGGGTGATTCGGCTGAAGGCTTTCCCACATTCTTTACATTTGTGGGGCTTTAGCCCCGTGTGGACGACTTGATGCTGGGCCAGGTGAGTGCTCCGGCTGAAGGCTTTCCCGCACTCACTGCAGGTGTAGGGTGTCTTCCGAGTGTGGCTCTTCTGGTGTGCCTCGAGGGCCAAAGGGCTCCTGAAAGTTTTCCCACAGTTGCTACACTTGGAGGCCTTCAGCCCTGAGTGTGGGCAGGGAGACTCAGTCCCATAACTGTCTAATGAATCGAATTTCTCTTGTGAAGGAGTCCTTTCTCTTGAGGCAAAGTTTGGCCACATGCCAAGACTGTTCAAGGCATCATAGTCACAACTGGACTGGTTGGTGGAGGAGTCCTTGTGAGGCTCTGAAGTGTTTCTGAAATCCATCTGGCGGGCAGCAGACATTGTGTGGGTCTCCCCTGAGAGTCCCGCCTGCCTCTCTGAACTGCCCTCAGGTTCACAGGCATTGCCCAAGGCGGGCCCTGGAGACACATCTGCTACAGGGCTTTCAGTGGCCGTGTCTGATGGCTGGGACTCTTCTGAATCACTTTGCTTGCAGTTTGCCTCTGCGGGCTCGGGTCCTGAGTCCCACTCTGAAACAACCCAAGCCACAGCATCATCGCTCCACACACACCATGCCTGTCACCCACCTGGGCTCTGGCCATGCACTGTAAGGTGAGCCACAGGCTGTCCCTGACACTTAGCCCTGTGTCCGAAGGGAAGTTTCTCAATGGGTGTCTGATGACATGAGGGTGCAGGACTGGCCCCCCACGCAATGCAAAATCGCACCAAGGGTTCTAATTTCTCTTTCTTTCCTGTGTCCTATACCCAACCTATCTCTGAAGGCTCCTCATTTTGGCTCAGGTATCAACCCTGAGGTTTAACTGATCCAACTGAACAAGAGAGACCAAGTGGGCCAGACAGGGGTTTGTCCTTATAAAGCATCTATGTACACAGGCCTCAGGGCAGGCCCTCCATCCCCAGCCCTCAGTGCTGTGTCCCCCGGGCCTGGCAAGGGCCTGACACTTGCAGGTGCTCCGTGGGTACTGGCTGAATGAGAAGCAGTCCCAGATGCCGGTGACCGTGATGTTTTCCACAGCAGATTCCTTTACCCAGAAGCCCAAGCAGACAGGTGAGTGGGGATGGCTGAGCTGGCAGCATGTCCTCAATCTTTCAGGAGCCTGGAGGCCTACCCTTAATAAACCACTTCAGAAAGACTTTCTTAAAGGCAGAGTATGGACAAGGGGCAGTCGGAGGTCAGAGTGCACGTGAGGTAGGGGTGTGCTCTCATTGACCTGCCCTCACCAGGTCAAAGGGCTCCTGAGGGTGCTTAACCGGGCAACATTTACTGGACAGATTCCAGGAGGAAAGGAGAGAGCTAGGTGGGGGTGAGTGTGCAGAGCAGCCACTGCCCAAGTCGGCAGTGGGGCGCTCAGTGCTGCAGAAACGGGGCTCTAGCCCCAGCTTGGCTGCCGTCTGGCTCCAGGGCCTTGGGTAAGTTCTACCCTCATCTGGGCCTCAGTTTCCCACTCTGCTGCCTACCTCATGGGGCTGCTAGCTGTTATCACACTCTTGTCACATGCTAGGCTCCCAGCACAGTGTGTAACTTCAGTCGCCTCACTTCATCCTCCAAACCGCCCTCAGAAGGAGGGACTGTGACAGTGGCATTTCACAGATGGAGAAAATGAGGGTCAGGTAAGGGAAGGATGTGAGTAACTTGTGCAAGATCCCACAGGTGGGTAGTAGACATGTCAGGGTTTCAACATGGAATCCTTTCCACCTGGCCCATGATGCCTCCTCACTGTCACCACCCACAACGTCCTGCTGAGCCCTCTTTCCTGGGGGGTTGACATTAACTTTACCTGGAGAAGCTGGTCTTTGTCCTTGGTTCTTGAGAAACTCTAAACCTTGGGACTCCTTAGTGACTGAGGTACCTCTGCTGTATCTACTGGGTTTATGCTAAGGAGATGACTGTTGAGGGGTTGGGTCTCAGGAGGTGGGCTGATCCAGTTGGTCATGCTGTGTAACGAGGCCCTGAGAAAGGCCACAGAAGCTCCAGGGCTTCCGGCTGGTGAAAGACAGCAACGCACAGGGTAGGACAACCTGGTTCTTTTTGAGACACAGAACCCTCTCAAACCTCACCTTCGCTTGTGTCCTTTTCTTAGAATAAAACCATAATTCTAAGTACAGCATTTTCCCAAAGTTCTGTGGCTAGTTCCAGTGAAGTCTCAAACCAGGAAGTAGTAGGAGTCAACCAGTGAGAAATGACTGGGAACCCCTTAGCTTATGGCTAGTACCCTGAAGGGGTAGAGGGAACCTCCAAATTTGTAGGCAGCAGGTCAGAAGTGGGGAGGCCTGGGGGGCCTAAGCTTGTGGCTGGTATCCTGAAGGGTCCTAAGGACGTGTTCATTTTTGGATCGCAGACCTCAGCCCTGGGCTGGGCACCAAGCACCTCTCGGTGGAATCTGCCGAAGGAGTGAGCTACTGGGGGAGCATGGTGGTGCACAGAGCCCTCCATGGCCTGACCCCCAGAACCAGAGGCAGAACACTTCCCAGTGTGAAGAGAGACAGACGGCACATACAGGGCCATCTGGGCCCAGGAAAGTCTGTCAGCTGCTTCTCCCCACCCAATGGCCAGACGAGAGTCCCATCCCGGGACTAGGCAGGGGAGGTCTAGGCTGTTGGCATGGATTTAGTCCCAGTCACTCCAGTGGCTGGCAGCATGAGCCTGGACGAGTTGTGTCCCCTCAATGAGTCTCAGTTTCCCTTCCTGCAAAGTGAAACTGGTTCCCTCTTCATGAGCTGCCGTGAGGGCTGCTGAGGCATCCACGTCCCCTCCTCATTCTCCCCTCAGCCAACCAGCTGGGGACACGCCCCTTCATGGAGGTAGGGGCTCCAGCCTGAGAATAGGAGACTCTCTGAGACCACTGGTCTGTGTCTCCTGGGAGCAGTAGCAAAGCTTCACCCCCACAGTGTGGGCTTATCTCCAGGGGCTGAGAGGAGAAAAGCCTGGGACTGACTGACAGCTTGGGAAGTCCCACTGGCCAGCTGGTGAAGGGGAGCCAGACACGGCCTATAGGGCTTGGGAAGGCAGTCTCCAGGAAGGTGGTGAACAAAGCTGGCAGGAACAGGCACCCACTTACCTAGGAACTGGGGTGCCCGGCTGGTGTCCAGTTCCCCGCTGTGGTCTGAGGCTCCGCGTTGAGAATTCATGTTGGGCCTTTGCTCCTGGTCTGACTTCGGTGACACCACCCCCTGCAGCCAAAGCATGACCCCACCTGTTACAGACCAAATTGTATCCCAAAAAATATATGTTGTAAAGATCGACAGCCTTGGAAACCCTGTGGGGCAGTTCCACTCTGTCCTCTAGGGACTCTGTGAGTTGGGGTCCACTCCACAGCAGTGGGTATGGTTTGGGCTTTGCTCCCAGGAAGACTGACAGCCTTGAAGACCATGTAGGGCAGTTCCACTCTGACCTCTAGGGGCACTGTGGGTCGGGATTGATTTGACAGCAATGGTTTTGGTTTTAAATCTTTATGGTAGCACATCACCCGGTGTTTCTCCCACAGAGCTGCTGGGTGGGTCTGAACCGCTGACTTTTTGGTATGCAGCTGGGCGCTAAACCATTGTGCCACCAGGGTTGCTTGGCTAGGGCAGGAGACCCGTTTTGGACTTTTGATGTCCAGAAATGTGAGATTATAAGTCTGTGTTTGTGATCCTGTGTTACAGCAGCAGCAGGGAACTCATACAGCAGTTTTCTGTCTACCACAGTCTAGCCTCCCACGTACCACCCAAGCTAACACAAGCCATTCCCAGGCTGCCACTTGAAGCTGAAACCAAGGCAGCACCTGCCAGCTTTGGGAAGAAGAAGCGGTGGTCACCATTCACCACCCCCTCAGTGACAGCCACACCAGATGACCTGCGGTCCCTGGCATGCCCGGAGTTGTTTTCTCCCTTCCAGCCTTTGCACACCCTGTGCCCTCCACCGGAAAGACCATTCCCCTGCCTTGTTCACTGGCTAGCTCTGGGCATTCGCTCCTCTAGGAAGCCTTCCCAGCACCTCCACCCCCACTGGACTCCCTGAGACCCATGAAACCCGAGTTTGCTGCCTCTGTCTGAGTCAGGGAGGTGTCAGGCTGGGCCTGGCAGTGAGGATGCATGTAGTGCTGTCTTGGGGTGAAGGACTGAAGGGTGAATGGTTAGTGTTGGGGCTGAGGGGGACAGACATACCCAGGGAAGGGTCCATACTGTGCTGCATGGCCAGGGCCGACCTGGTCCAGCCTGGGAGGATGTCCCCTCACCTGGTGTGTGCCTGTCAGCGGCTCTGTGCCTGCCCACTCGTCGCCAGAGTTCCCATCCCGGTGAAGCTCAGAGTCCCTGGTGAGCAGCACTGGGGAGCAGAGCAAAGTCTTAAGTGAGACTGACCCTAGCCCCAGCCCAGCAAGCCCCACAGAGGACCCTGACCAGGCACTGCTAACAGGGCCAAGGGAGAGCACCTGATCCAACAGTCCTGAAAGGTCTGCTTCTCAAAGACCTGGCCAAATCGTTTTAACAGCCACATTGACCACGTGTTTAATCCGTGCCAGGCACGTTTCCAAATGCTGCATTTACGCCGAAGCAGGTGGACAGTAATCTCCACATTACCAATGGGTAGACTGAGGCACAAGAGAGTCACACAGCCAGGAGAAAGTGGGGCAGTAGCATCTGAATCCAAATGCCTCAGTCCCCCTGCCTGCCGCACCCCCTTCCCCACGCTGTCTGCCCTGGTGTCTGCTGCTGTCAGGCCTGGCCCGGACCTGGTTCTTTCTGGAGGAGTCATTACTCCTTGCTCTGGGCCACCCTCTTTCCCACCCCAGGTCTCCTGCAGAGACAATGCCCACAAGGGGTCAAGAGGGGCATGCAGGTGACACCTGGTGTTTCTGCCCTGCCTGTCCCCTCAGCATTGGGCCTCCTTGTCTGGCACCAACAGTCTGGTTTACTTTGGAGAACTCTCCTTCAATGAAAATTACTCCCTGGGATCCAGTTGGCCAAGGGGAACCAGGCCAGTGGGACTCAGCCCGGGGCCTCTTACTTTTCTTTTCCCCTGGTAGGACAGACACCTAGAGTTGCTAAGCCATTTTTGCACCCCCACCCCCCTAAACCTCAGCAACAGAAAGTGCTTAAGAACAAAGCTACTGTGAGAAAACTCAACTAACAGAAACAGAATGAAAGAAGAGTCGTGATGGCATCAACTGAGTACCTAGATCCAGCCGTACCTGAAGCCTCCTTGGCCTCTTTGCGTAAGCCAGTTTGGGCTGGAGTTTTGGTCACATGCAATCAAAACAGACCTGACTAGCACAGTGTGTAAGTGTTTAATGGAGGAAGAAATGGGAAAATTACTACACAGTCTTGAGTGTCAGGGGAAGGGGGAGATGGGAGACCAAGTACGTAAGTGAACCTGGATCCAATTCTATGCTCCCACATTGCAGTCTAGGCTCAGCCCAGCAAGCTGTGAACACGTGCCCACCGCTGCTCCTCACCTCTCTTGTTGAGCACCTGGGTGAGATCCTCCACGAGCCTGGCAGCCTCGTCACCACTCTCAGGGCACTGGGCCCGCACCCAGGCCTGGGTCTCGGGGGGCAGGGCGCCCAGGAACTGCTCCAGCACCAGCAGCTCCAGCATCTGCTCCTTGGAGCGCGCCTCGGGCCACAGCCACTGGCGGCAGAGCTCACGAAGCCGGGCCAGGGCCTCGTGGGGCCCCGCCGCCTCCTGGTAGCGGAAATGCCGGAAGCGCAGACGTGCAGCCTCAGGGTCAGTGGTGTGGCCACCAAGGCCGGATTCCTGGCTCTGAGAGAAGCCCGCCTCTTCATCTTCCTCCTTCACTTGCAAGAAGCTTTCCTGTTCCCAGGGCATCAGGCTCAGTGAGCTCTGGGGGACCGCCATTGGCAGCAGCACGCTGGTGGGACACAGGCTGGCTGGAACTTCGGAACTGGACCTGCAGGAAGGCCAAAGCTTTGTCACCATGTGGAATCTGGGGCCCTGCTCCACACCTATAGATGACTAATCTACTTCCTGTCTTTGTGGATTTACCCCTTCTGGGGGTTGCAAATGCCTCGAACCATATACTCTGTGGCCTTTGAGACTGGTTTTGTTCACTCTGCAGGATTCTACTTTCAGGATTCATCCACGCTATAGCATGCAACAGTACTTTATGCCTTATTATGGACAGTCCTAGTCCATTGTATAAGGAGCTCTAATGGCATAGTGCCTAAGACATCTGACTGCTAACCAGAAGGTTGGTCGTTCAAACTCACCAGCCACTTGGTGGAAGGAAGACAGGGCAATTTACTTCTGTAACGATTTACCGCCTTGACAACCAAATGGGGGTTGCTATGAGTCAGAATTGACTGGATGGCAGTGGGTTTGGTTTTGGGATTTTATTCCACTGTATGGATGGACTTTGTTTATCTACTTATCAGCTAATGGACATTTGGGTTATTTCCACTTTTGGGCTATCATGAAAATGCTGCTATGAACATTCATGTACACATTTTTATGTGGACAAACATCTTCTTTTCTCCTGAGTATAAACCTAGGAGTAGAATTGCTAGACAGAAGTCCTGCGGGATGGACTTCTGTCTAACTCTTTAGGAAATGGACTGTCTTCTGCAGTGGCTGCACAGTTCACCTTCCCACCAGGAGTGGGTACGGGCTCTAGTTTCCCCAGCTTGTCTACTTTTAACACTGACCTTTATTTCTTTTATAATCATGAAAAAGAAAAGAAAACAAATGGACTATAATCTTGCCTAAGAGACCGTAACTCTTTGTTTTGGCTACACACTCCCCCTTCTCAAGGACCTGGCCTCTCCTCTCTGACGAACAAGACCCTGCGGGTGTAAGGGCTCAGAGTTCTTTTCTTCCTGGTTCCGTTTCATGTCAGCTTCAGCACCACTCTGTTTGAGGCATGGCTCAGAGAAGTCAACTTGAACAGAGGCTCAGGAGCCTGAGAAGAGAACTTCTATAAAGCAGGACCCCAAGCCTGAAGTCCGTCAGTCACAGCCCCTATACAGTAAAGCAGGACCCCAGGCCTGAAGTCCTACAGTGATAGCCCTGTGGTGATTAAATTTGTCTGTCAACTTGGCTGGGCCTGGTTGAGTGGCTGGGCAGCTGGTGGTAGTTACTCCCCATGATGAGGCTGGCAATCACCTCCATGGTAGGACCTACCACAAGCAGCTAAGTAGCTGCTTTAGGAATGTGGCTTGCTTCCCGTATTTGAGAAACAGCTTTGGGAATGGTCT